TAAATAAATAAGTAAATAAAATAAAACAAAATAAATAAATAAAAGATAAAATAATAGAAAATAAAACGTGACAAGAAAAGTAACATAAGACATACAAATAACTCAATAAAATATAACCGAAAGGTATCTGTAAAGAGCCAGCCAGCAAGGAACGAGTAATTGCCAATATGTGCATTGGGCCAGCCAGCAATGAATGCACCCCCATCTTCCACTGATGTGCCAGCCATAGGGAAGTGGAGGGGGGGACCAGACCCCCTCAGTGACCAGGCAGGCCAGCAAAACGGGAGACACCAGAGGGAGAGGCATCGGGCAGACAGGCCCCAGGAGCGAGCCATGATCTGAGCCACAGGCCGCCCAGGCCCGCCCTACCCGCGCCACACCCCCGGCCTCCCACCTGTTAGACATAATGTAACAAAAATTACAATTACTGTACTAAACTCACCCTCAGGGCGAGCTGCTTCGCGGCGTCTCTGGCTGGTGCCTGGAGAGGCACTCCTGGTCCTGTGGGCTCTCGGGGACCTCGACCTATCTCTTGGCCTGCGCCCCACAAGGTCCGTCAGGTAGCGCAACTGCTCCTCAGTGAACGGCGGCGGGTCTCTTTGGGTCGTCATCGTCGTAGACTCGGGATGCTCGGGAAGGAACGCAACTTCAACCTTTGGTATCAAGACTGAGGCACAAACGGAGACAGGGGACAAGAAGAACCTAGGGCAACCTGCTAGCTTGATACTGCAATATTGCGCATGCGTGGCCCGAGCCCCTCCTTCCCTGTTAACCTCATTTAAACAGAGTCTAAATTACCAATATGAAACACGGCCCGACCGGATGTTCTGAGGCTTGTTTCACCGGAAATACGTCATATTACGTTTTCATTCAGAATAAAAATAAAACAATGATAAAAAGTATTATTATTATTGCTAATAAAAGTGTGATTTTATGTACAATAATACAATAAAACTTGACATTTATCATGCATTATAATTGCTGAAACTTTCCTTTTCTTTTAGTATATGCAGTCTACCAATGCATGACTTTCCCATCTCTTGTCACCTAAAAATGATGATTTTGACAACACAATTGCACCAAAACTAAAAATACACTCCTTTTGAGAATAGGCCCACTACAACTACCTATTCTCAAGCTACAAAACCATATAGAAAAAGTTCCAATTAAGTCCAGTATTACAAAGAAAAATTGGCTAGAAAGGTGGGGCTTGAAAAACCAAGATTTAGAAAATAACAGCTCTTTTACTTAACACAAACTCTAAATAATAGCCCCACTACAACTAGTAAACAATAACCTATCAGTACAATAAAAAATGTTGGCCTAATTCAACAGAGTTAAGCTAAAAAAGTGGCTTGAGTGAAATGTACACAACAAGTAGGCTATGACTGTTATATATTGATATATTATTTTGGTATTGATTCCTATTATTATTTTCTAAGGCATTTTGATTACAGTTATTTCTAGTATTATTATTATTGTTATTATGATTATTATTACTACTATTGTTATTACAATTATTATTATTACTATTATTAATTATTATTATTATTGCATTGCTGTACGATGTTATTTCTTTTCCTTCTAGCTGATGCTTATGATTTACTATGCTTATTAGTTCATGTATACTGATTCTGATTGTTGTGTAATGTTTTGTCATTGTGATGTAATATGATGTAATACTGTTTGTATATAAGTGTATGTTCTTTTCATTTTTGTCAGAAGAGATTTTAGCCTTTTTACAATAATCAATATTTACAAAATACGAAGGTCAAGCTCTCTCCATTCGGTCACTACACTGGCGACGAGGGTAACTGGACTACTTTGCTGTTTCTTCCTACTTCTCACTACTCACACTATGGCTACGCACGGCAAGATGTCGGCATTCGATGGTTCCAAGGAATCTTGGACTTCTTACTCCGAGAGACTTGACTTCTACTTCAAGGCTAACAAGATTACAGCAGCAGAATCTCAAAAAGCAGTCTTTATTACTGTGATAGGACCTAGGACGTACGGGCTACTGAAGAGCCTACTACAACCAAAGACACCTCAGGACTCTACCGTCACCTTGGATAAGATGAAGGACGTTCTGCAGAAGCATTTCAATCCTAAGCCATCTCCTATAGTTCAGCGCTTCAAGTTCCACACGAGAGTTAGGAAACAAGACGAGACAGTGGCAACCTATGTGGCAGAGCTCCGTGTGATAGGAGAACATTGCGATTTCCAAGATTCTCTAGATGCTATGATTCGGGATAGGCTCGTTTGTGGCATCAACAGC